TACTCCAGGCGGAGGCAGTGGCGGCACTGCTATACGGCTGCATGACATGGTCCCCACGCCACGACCACTACCGGCTGCTGCAGACGACACACCACCGTCTGCTCTTGCGAGTTATCGGCTACCGACGCAAGCAAGGCACCTACCGACAGCTGTCGNCGCGTGACGTGACATGTTGCGGTTGAATTTCAGCGACTAGTTTTTCTGTTGCCCTCTCCCCCGTTTGCTGTCGCGTTCAGACTGTCTCTACGGATATCCCTGTCTCTGCGAGTTTGTTTATGTCCTCGTCTGTCTTTGTTTTATTTCGTTTTATTTATTTATTTATTTTACTGGCACGTACTGCTGACCCTTGGGATCCTTCCGGAAGGCTACCCCCCAGGCTGGTGGTGTGCACGTTCCACTATTTATTTATTTCTTTGTTTCTGATTCTTTTGTTTTCTTGTATTTTATCGCTCTGCTAACCCTTGGGGTCCATTTTATTTTGGTATACCTTTTCTAGGTACGTTAGCCTGTGACCACGGAAAGTGACCGAGTCAAGTGCTGGATTAGTACGGAGAGATTGAGACAGAAGGAGGTACTGGATAGAGAGACCGGGATGGTTTTTAATGTGAAAACAACAACAACAACAACAACAACAACAACAACAATGGAGGGCCCAGTACTGCTGTACTATGTACAACATACAGCTGTAATTTGCACGTGTCACCGCTGCAGGTCTTGCCTGCTAGCATATTGTACTGCTGTAGTACTCTGGTTCATGGACCATCGGCATTGGAATCAACGCGAGGCGCTATGCTTCCACACGCACGGGGGCACGGTGCCCGTTTCCATGGTTGGGGCGGAGATCGATTGGTGTGCCGTGTCTTAGTCTAGCAAACATGTAGCGACTAGAGTTAGTGTGGACGGGTGCGCACTGCGTGAAGAGCACCGCCAGCTGATAATGAAGAGGCGGTGCAACTCCACCAATAGCCATCACCATGCCACCACACGTACGTCTGCGCGCGTTGGTTGTGGACTGCCACCAACAAGCGTTTGCTTTTTGGTCGCGAAACAGCAGCAGCAGCGTATAGTTAGACTGAGGAGTGACGAGCAATTAAAAGGTAACCACTGCTGCTGTACGCGAGTACGGTCACAGCATCAACGCGAGTTGCTACATAGGAGCCTCTTGCTCTTGCTCTCTCCCCCTGATCCCAAGCGAACAAAAGAGAACGCGGGTCCCTTTTGGTCTCTCTCTCTCCCTGCGATCCCGCCGGTGGCAGTAGTAGGTGAACTCACATTGAACCAAGTAGTTCGTCGGAAATACAACACAGGCTTTACTCCTGCTCACCGCGGCCAGGGAGAGGGAGCTCAGCAGGAGCTGCTTCCGCAGCGGGTACTTCTTGTTGAGGCATGGCTTGCACGCTGCGGTCGCGGCGTGGGATGACATGCCTTCCTGCCCTTCCTCTCTCTTTTCGGCGGTATCGCTTCTAGCTGCTGCTGAACGATCGCGTGCAGCGGGATGATGATGGACGGGGCGGGGGTGCGTTTTGTGCGCGTGTTCCTTTTTTATTATTACACCTTCGTGTTGTGTTGTTGTTCTGGGTGCGCAGAAATTTCATGATTTCGTGGAACGCTCCTTGGGTGATTCGAAGGGTTCGCGGTTCGCTGGAACCTCGGATCGATCCGAAGAGGTACACGTACGAGTGCGGGGAATAGCGGAAGCAGCCGGATCCGTATCGACCTCGAGCGGTTGAGGAAGGACACACACCTACGGGTCGCCTTCCAAAACAGGGCCTCCAGCCGCCCTCCGCCCACGGCGCTCAGGCGGCTAACGGGCGAGACCGCCGCCGAGCTGACGGCTACGGTGATATCGGCCGCTGCTGAGACCGCGCCGCTGGCGAGGTGCGCACGAGGGCAGAGAGGCTGGTACACGAGCGAAGCGCAGCACGAGATCTACGAAGCGTCTAAGAGATTAAGGCGGCCCAGCAGCAACTGCGTGGGGCCTCAAAGAACAGCGCCTTCGAGGCGACCCTGAAGGCGATGCTCAAGGCGGCGCGGAAGAAGCGCAGCATCGCGAGGTGGAGGGCACTGGAAACGTTCTTCGAGGGCTATGTACGGCAGCTCGAGAAGAAGAGCCGCGAGGGGGATCAGGCGGGTTTCTACAGGCACCTGAAGATGATCGACGTCGAAGGTAAGAGGTCGTTCACCTCTCAGAACATCAAGGACGAGGACGGCAAGGTCCTTCGGGACCCCACGTTTACTCGCCAACGGTGGGCACGGTCGTTCCACAAGCTACTCAATACCAAGTCGCCGACCATCGACTTGCATGCGGCTGACAAGGTCAAGCGGTGGCCCACGTGCGTGCCACTCGAC